ACAGCTTGAAGATGTCGCTTACGTTTTCCGGGGCGGCAAATAAATTACTTTGTTCCATCAATAAATATTGTTATTTTCTGAACAAGACCGTTAGTTTTGTCTGTTACTGCTTGTACATACTCCTGATGTCGAGCAGTCTACAAAGTATCATTAAAGAACAGAGTATCCTTCCATTGATCGTCGAGGTAGCAGTCTACGTGGCCACAGCAATTAAATCTTAGATACAATTTGCAAAGATTATACATGCATCACGCACAAATGTCGGTGATGATACGGGCGTCCGAGCCGCCAAACTGCCTCCGGATCCTGGACAGCTTTCCTGGATAGGAAAGTCGGTAGCAATGCATTGCAAGGGCCTCGACACCCAATAGTCGATCCCCCCGCGCTTGAGATAAACATGTTGGGTGTGTCCATTAAATGTGCTAGCCTAGTCAGCTCGTCGCACGTGAAGCGAAAGTTAGCAAGTGCATCGACGTCAGGATACGTATTGATGTCGAGCCGTGCGTCTGGAATTAGTGGTCGCTCCACATGCTCTGTTGAAACAGCTAGGAGTAGAGCATCCTCGAGGTCATCTAGGACTTCAGCAAGCACTGCTAATGCTCGAGGACCAGCGCCTTGTAAATCGTTCATTCTGACCGGAGATCTATTTTTTTTTACTAATGACCTTCTTTGGGTACAGTCTCTTCACATTCGATACCAGCATCACCCGAATAGTGTATCCCAAATCTAACTAAACATTTGTCTCGAAAGTTAATCTCTTGTCCCCATCCGTAGAATGGGTAGGATGGCGAGCGTACCAGTAGCCTCAACTTCAAAAATAAAGTTTAGCTCTCCTAGCAACGGACACTTATACCGAAACGGACAGCGCTCAAGTCCAAAGAGCTAGTAGCCCGGCATTTTTTTTCTGAGCTCAATTTGACCAAGGGAAGATGCCAAAACTGCTGGAAGGAAATCGGGTATGTGGTAAAAGGAAGCGTCACTTAGGCAAGACTGGTGTCATCCTTCGGGTGTTGAAATCAAGCAGACAGCACACGTACGAGGTTGAATGGTCTACGGGAGTTGTAGATATTGTTTCTGCGCGCTCAATTTGCATTGAACAAAGCTCTAACGACGCTGAGCACACAAGTTCTGGCGAAGAAGTCTCCTTTGTGGAGCTTCTCCGGTCCGAAACCTCAGGTAACCAAGCTGGGTTTTCGTGTGAGTCCTCTTCTAGTGATGAAGATGAGGAGGAAAATGATGATGCTGGCTTGGAGGGGCACTCAGAAGCCGAAGAAGACGATACAGTCGTGGCTCACGGTCGATTATGGGTACCATGCGATTCAATCTTGGTAGATCCTGCAAGTCAATTTTTGTCTCGGGCAACACATTTTATCGGTTTACTGATTGCAGGATATGGGATACGGCTATCCCACAAACCACATCCAACAAGCGCTCCGAAAGGTACCTAATAAGGTGACGGTCAGCTTTGGAGACCTCCTTAACCTTTCAGTACCGACTATTTGATACGGGTCATTTGGGACCTGTACCAGTAGCCAATAAAAGGCTCTTATTAGGTCAAGAAGGTCGAATCAAAATTAGCAAATTTAGTGACGTGGAGAATTCATATTCTGCATTATTTGTAAAAACCGTGAATCAATTGGTAGCAATATGTGAGACAATATACAAGTATCATACCAAAATCGCAGAAACCATTTAGAATCGAGATGTAGATCAACGATAAGGCGTGTTCCAATCATAACGCATGGCGGAGTAGTGGAAAAGGCGACGAAGAAGACACGCTGAAGGCCGATAACGTCCGACGCTGGCGATCCCTCGCACATCCCAATCATGCCGCCAAGGCTCCTTTGGGACGAAAGTTGTGGTTATTATTG